AGGCTCGAATTTGGAGGGAAGAACACAAAAATATCACCCGTGAAAAGAAGAGACAAAAAAAAGGAGGATTGATAGAGGGAATTGTTTGGAAGAAGGAAAAAATGAGGGATGAAACGGACTGGGGGTTGAGGTGATTATATGGCTATAACTAATCCTACAATTAAGGGATTAGTTAAACGACAAATAATCCCATAATTAAGAAATTTTGTGTATTTACAACAATTCGTAAGTCTAAGGGGTAAATATGGTACAAACCACAAACAAGTATACTTGGAATCTCAATTATTGGACCTATTTCAATGAAGTGGACTAATTCTACTAATGGCTCACAAAATTGGATCTATATCAAGTTATCCCTTATTTTATCAACCGTGGAATTACACTTGAAATTTGAACTTGCAATATCGATTTTAACAGACTCAGATCGTGTCCAGATCATTTCCGTGGGGATCCTCTTGACCGATTGATATCAACCGTTGATACAAATCCAACGGCCAAATTATTTTCACCTCCTTCTCTCTCTCTTCCCCCTTGACTCTTCTCCTTCTCCCTCACTTCGAAGCACCCACCACTGCCACACCCGCATCTTCTCAATCTTCTCAGCCCCAACCCACCCCAATTAAATTCCTTGTTAACTTTTGTATTTCTTATCTCTGAATCTTTAATTTTTGCAGTATGTTCAGTTGTATTTTTGTAGGTCCTTTAAATTGGGACTTTATTCAACAGGAAAATGAAGAATTTGAAGCAGGGGAGGTTGGGGTAGGAGAGAGTCGGAAAAGGTTGCTGGGTTGTGTAAGATGTGGAACTACAGTGGGAGGGTGGATGTCCAGAAAAAGATTTTGAAGTATATATACATCTATTGGAGATTAGCTTTAGAATTGGCTGAAATGGCTATTTCTTTAAGGGCCAGTAGAAGGATCCAACACTCGGTGGAAGACCATAGTCACGATCAGAATAAAAATGGAAGTTTTCTGGAGAAGTCTGGGATGTTGGTTCAAATTCAGTTCGTAACATGGTGGCGGTGGGTCGGATGCTTCGAAATGATGGAGAAAGAGGAGTTGAGGGAAGAGAGCAAGGGGAATAGAGAGTAGCGCGGAGAGAGAGAAAAGACGCGAAACTCATTTAGCCATTAGATTTGTATCAACATATGAGATTAATCAGTCAGGAGGATCCCCACGGGAATGATTCGGAGAGGATATGAGTCCGATTTTAACTGATCATGTAGGCTTAGGGCTGGTTTGGTATTGTTGTACGTTGAAAAAAAACTGTTTTTGCTGTACTGTGAGAATAAACTCATTTTTGCTGCTTCGCGTTTTCAGCTTTTTTCCACCCAAAACTGTGAAAATAAGCTGTTTTTAAGTGTTTACCAGACACCTATTTAAATTCAATTTTTTTATACCCACTTTTTATAAAATCACTTCACTACCAAACTAGTACTTAAGCAGTAAATACTATTTTCAAAATAATTAGTTTGCATAGTTTTTTGAATGGGCTTAATTTGATATTAATTGAGTTCAAAGTTTTACCCAACCATGGTTTGGGTAGGCAAATCAGTAAGACACATCTGTTGATTGGGCTTTGACCTTCAACGACTTGTCTTTGTGGGGGTGTCCAGCGATCAAAAGCCAACTAGCTACTGTTTTGTAATGTGAGAGGTTAAATAGGGGTTTGTGCTCAATGTTTATTTTTTATTTATTTTTTTAACCTCTCATTTAGCAGGACGGCTTGAACTAACTATTTCAATTAACTTGGACAAGTGTCATGGCCCGTGTTTGATGCATTGAAAAAACTGGGATGATCATGATATCTAATATAAAAAAATCCTTAAGTCCTGATCGTACAAGTTGGAACAACTTGTTCTTTCTTAATGTCTCGATTCAACGCCGAAAAATTTAATGTCTTTGAAATTATGAAATAAATCAAACTCCTAGTTAGTATCAGTTATTACTATTTGATAACTGAGTTTGTGGCTATTAAGTATATTCATTACTAGCAGAGCTATCGTATACTTTTCTCGGTGTTTTGGCTAAGATCCAAGTGTAGGTGACTTACATGAAGGCCACAGATTCCTTGAAATTTATGCGTGTCTACTTGCTACGTATGATTGATTAAATTGTTGAAATGGACTGCTCAACCACAAGTCTGTGCGGAATCAGTTAATGCCGGTGCCAAACTGGCAATAGTTTTGAGATATGTCAGTAGTCGTAATTCAACCGCCACATGCATTTTGCCTGCTTACTTCAACATACAGGGCCCCAAATATTAAGTTTGATTTGATTTATGATTGGAAGTTTGATGGAGTATTTGAATTTTAACTAGTTTTATCACCGACTATCTTCTCAGCCGTAACAGACTAACAGGTAATAGGAACCTTGAATTCAGTTCTTTTGGAGTGACTGTAATTCTAAGATAGAAAAACACACTTGAGAAATTCTGTAACCCCAAAATCAACCCAGGTAGCTCTTTCAAGGTTAATTCCAACTCTAAACCCTAAAATTAACTAAGAGAGCTCTCTCAGGGTTAATTTTAACAGGTATATATGACGAGGGGTTGGAAGAAGTGATTTGAACGGCAAGCGCCAAAGTTTTATTAGTGAATTTTGATTTTCCGATGTCTATTTTGAGCCCATAATATATTTTTCGAAAGTAAATGGCAAGATGAGTCCAACTCACTGCTTTCATGTGACAAAAGACCTTTTTTTGACGTTTTAACATCGTTTAATGGGTCAAAAATAAATTTCAAATTTATTGGGAGTTTTGAATAATTTGTAGAGTTAATTACAAAAAACTACCTCAACTATGGGTCAACTGACACTTTCATACCTCATCTTTTAAAATTGACAATGTCATACCTCATCTTACGAATTTGTGTCAATTTTATACCTTCCGTTAGCTTGGCCGTTTATTTCTCAGTTAAATGCTGACGTAGCTTGATCCGGGACCCATTTTTATTAAAAAATTAATAAAAAATTATTAAAAACAAAAAAAAATCATTTAATATTATTTAAATATTAAAATAATAAAGAAAAGTTATTTTTAAAAAAAAAAAAAAACCAATTTGTCCCTTCCCCCCCCTCTCTTCCTTCTCCCCATCTTCATCTTCTTCCCCTTTCTGCAACTACAACCCAGAAAAACATAAGAGGAAAAAAAAAAAAACCAATTTGTTTTCCCTGCTCCTCACCTCCTTTTCTCCCCACACCCACGCATCCAACCTCCCCACCTTCGCACCCCACCCTCTGCACCCAACCTCGCACCCAAAATGGGCGGCGGGGGCGCCCAGGGGGTGGGGGGGGGGGTGGGGGAATGGGTGTGGAGGGGAGAGGGTGGGTGCGAGGGGGGCGGACGAACTGGGTATTTTTTTTTTCTTCTCTCTTCTTCTTCGTCTGCAGGTTGGGTGGGTGGGTGAAGGGTTTCCCGTTGTTTTTTTTTTTCCTTCTCTCTTCTTCTTCTTCCCTCTTCTTCCTTCTTCTTCTTCTTCTTCTTCTGCAGGGGGACGAACTGAGTTTCCCATTGTTTTTTTTTTTTTTTTTGTTTCCTTCTTCTTCCTCCTTCTTTCTAGGTTGCAGGGGGTTGGGTTTGTGGTGGGGGGAGGGGGGATGAACTGGGTTTGATTTGGTTTGGGTTTTTTTTTTCTCTTCTTCTTCTTCTTCTTCTTCTTTCTCCTTCTTGTTTTCTGGGTTGCAGGAAGATGATGGGGAAGAGAGAGGGGGGAGATGCACGAAAGGAGAGGGAAGATGATGGCTAATGTTTTTTTTTTTTTTTATGTACTTTTTTATTATTATTTTAATATTTTAATAATATTAAATGATTTTTTTTGTTTTTAATAATTTTTTATTAATTTTTTAATAAAAGTGGGTCTCGGATCAAGCCACGTCAGCATTTAACTGAGAAATAAACGGCCAAGCTAACGGAAGGTATAACATTGACACAAATTCGTAAGATGAGGTATGACATTGTCAATTTTAAAAGATGAGGTATGAAAGTGTCATTTGACCCATAGTTGAGGTAGTTTTTTGTAATTAACTCTAATTTGTAATATTCCTTTTTAATTCCTTTTGCAACTAGAGTTTTCTCTAAGACTTTCTAACCGACTTTTAGGGTTGGCATTGATTCAACTTTCATCATATTATCAATTAAATGAGAGTTTTTCTCAATTCTTGGATTTCCAGAGTCATATCAAAGGAGACTCGTTCGTGAATCCTGAACCGAATACTTCTGTTGTGTCAATTGGTATCCGAGCCTCGGGTTTTTGATTCGATGGCAGAAGAGCGAGTTGCAATACCAAACCTAACAAGTTTTGAAGATGTGAGTCGAGAACTTGTTGCTATAGACGAGCGTTTGTATGAAACCACGCGCAATTCCGTTGATGAACCTTAACCAGATACTAGAAGATGGTAGGTAAAAAAATACAGAATTAACTTGACTCCTCGAAAGGATGAGGATGAATTCCCTCATACAACTTTATAGCCAATTCACGTAAGTCACTGCATATGATCTTAAAAGATTGTCTCTACAAAAAATTAATAAAATATAAGAACGTTTAGTCATCGAACTGTATAAAAATAGATGGTCGGAATCAGTAAAAGTATTACAAACCGTTTATCTATTTGATATTACTGATTGAATAAATACTTACTTTAATTAAATTTTTGCATAAATGATAATAATGATTTATAATATGTATGATTCCGATCATAAACAAGAATTTTTATTAACCGGCGAAATGAAATGAGAAATAATTTCTCCTCATTTTTTAAGGAGTCTCTATAAATATATCAACAATCTTGACAAGAAGACTATAAACCACTTTTCAACTTGAATTTATATGGATATCTCACAAACAACTTCAGGGCTCACCATTCCAGAAAAATTTTAATTACACAGTTGGGTCATCACCCACTTAAAAACCATAAAAACAAGTTGAAAATAGACAACCAAAAAGAAAAGGAAAGAGAGAAGATGAAGAAGAAGAAGAAGCAAAAGTCTGGAATATTCATAGACTCATCTATCCATCTCAATTACTTCAGGGCACTCCACGATGCTCTCCAAAGAAGGCTTCCACCCCTCAATAGCTTTGGCTCTACTTTTCTGGATCTCCTGCAAAACATCTTCCAAGTTCTTCCCTCCACTTTCTTTCAGCTGAAGCATCAACCACCCCAGCTCTTCTTTGGTCAACACGATCTTAACTCTTATGTTTCCATCTTTACCCAAAATGTTTTCTTTCACAAATCTACCTTCATTTTCTCTCTCATAGTCTTCTTGCTCATGCTGCTGCTGCTGCATTTCAATATGTTCTTGCTCCTGCTTTTGTGTGCATGTCTCCACACAATTTCCCATGATTAACCACCTTAATTCCTCTACAAGAAATTATAAAACTTTTTTGTTTTGTTTAAATCAAACCATGTAAAGCATTAGTTGGAAACAAGAGAACCACTATACATATAGTTGGTTCATGTGAAGGGAGACCATCTATTGATATAGGTGTGAAATCCAATAATTAAATAGGTACAAAGAAAAAGATTACCTACAATTGTTTTATTTATTCACGAGTGTTGATTCTTCTTACATAAAATATTGTGAGAAAATTATTTTCTCACTGCCCCTGTCATGTAAATATGTGTTTGTTCGTGATATTTTAAGGGACCATGATGTACAGCTAAGGCTCTCACGAGTCAATAACTATTGTCCGATATATTTTTAAAAATTCTATTTTTTTATTGTTTTTATAATACTTGGAACATATAATTTATTGTGTTTTGATTAAAAAACAATCAAAGAACATAATCATATGTCGCCCCCAAATTTCAGGCCGATTGATTCATTATTGTTTTTTTTTTCTTCATATAAAACAGTTGAAACTATACTTGTATTCACCAAATAATTGATTGAAAATTTTGAAAAATGTAAGATATATAGGATATACAACAAGAAGGAAAGAAAATACCATCTTTTGTAACGAAAAAAACCTCTTGGTCGAGAGACTAATTAGAATCTGATAATACGATACTTTGTTCAGGAGAAACTTTCGTATGTATCAAACGCATTACTGAATTTCTCTCTGTAAAAGTGTGGAATCTTAGATACCGACACATCAGAAGAACTTTACGTAAGAATTTTTGCTTGTTATTAATCTTGTTATTTTCTTCTCTTGTCAATTTCTTACTAGTGTAACAACAGTATCAATAATAGAAGTTTCATGTTCATATTAATAGAGACCCCATTCCCCGACATGTCACGGACATACAGGAAATCTGTAAACCTAACCTCCCTGCCCACCACCACGACGACAAGGTGCCAAAATTTACAGATATGCAGTCACAGGCGGTAGGTATGCGCCCTTTTTCATAAACTATCTAATACAGCTTTTGTTTTATGCATGGATATGGATGGTATATATTGCTGAAAATTATGCAGTCACCGACACCCTCTATATATTTCTACGATTTTGCCTAAGTCGTCTCAATTTCTTATTTACAATTTCTTTTATTTGTTGTCAACTGAAAATCATTTATCCCTTGCCAAAATTATGGCAATGCCTCCATTTTCTTGTTCCATCAAATTTTAGGGTTTAACCAGCACCATCCTCATTTTCGTGGAATCAATGTATCCCTAGTTCCAAATCTCCGATTCCGTCTTCCGTTAACCCAAAAGCAATCACGAGGATCTATTGAAAAATAACTAAACATGGTTTGATCGTGTAAATTTTACATGTAATTAATTTCTTTTTATTAGTAAATCACAGTTTAGAATTATTGACAACTTAATTTTTCTAAAAGTAATAATATATTTATATTTATTGAGAATGAGTCTCATATTGATGGGAGAAGAGACCTTGTATGGACTTATAAGATGTTATGCTACTCTCCATATTGCTAATTGGTTTTATAGTAGAACTCTAACTTTTTTCATGGTATCAAAGCAGGTTATCTCACGTTTGAAGCCAAACGGCCACACACGCTCCACTTCACCTCATTATGTTATCCACGTGTTAGGCTTGAAAATTCGCCATACATGAGGGGGTGTGTTGAGAATGAGTCCCACATTGATTGGAGAAGAGATCTTGCATAAGCTTATAAGAGATTAAGCTACTTCCCATATTATCAATTGGTTAATTTTATGGTGGAACCCTAATTTTCTCCAGTATTAAGGAGGTGAAGGAGACTGTAGAATAAATTATGATTTTGTAAAGGTATGAAACCGTAATTTGTGCAGAAGAAAGAAAGAATCCTTACAAGATAGGAGTGAAGCATATTTAATTTTCGGTACAATAATATATTTATATATCAAAGGGAATAAATTGATATTGAACTCATTATTTATAAGATTCATACCAAAACTTCTCATTTATAATTAAAAAGAAAATTATTAAACTGTAGCACTAAGTAAAAATATATTTAAAAAACATATATATATTTCCCTCCAACTCCCTGGACTTGATCTGTCTTCTATTTTTGTCCTTATCCCTTTTACTGTTCAAGACAAGTGGTCATCCGTCACCCCACTGAGGGAAAAGAAAAGAGAAAAGGAAAAGTTAAGTCCATTTTTTCATACCGTGCATGTGGTGTACCATAATTTACGTAGAAAAAGTCTTTCAAGAGATTTACCTAAATGAGATTTTGTTAAAATGAACAGTGACATGTTTGATGTGATCAACATTCGGTGGACAATGCAAATCACTTTACCCTTTATTCTTTGTGAAAGAAGAAAGAATTTCAAAGGCAGAACTAGAAAATCGTAAAGCAAGAAAATGATTACCATTTAGCTTTTGATTGAAGACATGCTGGTTTGCTATTGCTGTGGTTTAAAAAAAAGCTGCTTCTGCTATGCTGTGAGAATAAGCAGCTGTGAAATAAAGCAACATAATGTTTGGTAAACTTTTTTTGTAAAAGTGCTTTTGAAAAAAAAAAGCAGTATTATAGTGTTTGGTAAACTTTTATGTAAAACAGATGTGAAAAAGCCAGTTTTTCAAAGCTGGGTTTTGCAGCTTCTTTTTTTGGCTTTTTTTCACCCAAAACTGTGAAAAAAAGCTGAAGCTGAATGTTTACCGAACACAAAAACAGCTCTCAACTTTTTTTGATACCCACTTTTTTCAAAATCACTTCAGTACCAAATCAGGTCATAATTCGGTGAAAAAGGGAGCTTATATTCTTTTCAATGATAAAAGTAATCTTAATTTATTTTGTTAAAGGGAGGTTCAACTTTAGTCACTGTCTAAATACAGTGATATGCAGCGCAAATTTTGTAACAAACAGAAGAACAATGTCATCAGACTTCAGGAAAAAGTTACGTTTGAAATCAAAGACTACAGAACGTTGAATTGGGTCTGCAAATGAGGCGTAAGTCCCTTGCTAACTAATTAAGGATAAAGTTTTCACTATGCTTGGATTGTATGCAAGCTTCTCATCTACATAAATTAAGCATCTGTTGAAAACTTAAAGTAAACGCGGCACAGATGACGATGGTAATTGCACCAAAATAAAACGTACGAGTCATAACACGCATGAAAAGAAATTGACTTGCACAAAATGGAAGGTAATTTTGGAATAATTCATGTGAACAGTGATAGTTTTTTAACATAACTAGTTCACTAACAACCACAAACTATAAACTATATGTATCTTCCACAATATCTGATTAAAATTTCAAAGTTTGTAATTAAAAATACAAGATTTTCCTCCATTTAGGGTTAAAAAATAAAGAGAATTTCACTATCATAATTCAATGGTGCATTAGTCCACATTCAGACAGTCTCCATTGTTTAGGTAAGAAAATGATTACTTTTTATTATTTAATTATCAATTAAGACTCGATCAACTGTAAAATAAAAATTCACAACATGCATACAGTCATTTCCCTTTCTTAAGAGTAAGTCAAACCGTTGAGCAAAAGGTTCCATAACCCACAAAACTACCTCCAGCTCCCCAAGTTTTTGACTCCGTCAAACTGCCCAACCTTTTTTCGCAAAGCCTTGAGCCCGCTGGCGACGTCAGTTTTGATTTTGGTAACATAAGATTGAATTAGAGAAAGAATCATCTAAATTGAATTGTAGAAAGAATCATTTAGATTTTTTTTATCGATATTCCTGATTACTAATACTAATTAGGAAATCTCAATTAAACAAAATAAAAGAATGAATTCTTTCGCTATTATGGCAGGGTTTAGGGTTTAGGCACGTTACGGAGCAAACAAAGACCCCAGCCCTCTAGGGCACCCGAGGCAACGACTCTTTATGCCTATCGCCTTGGCCATTGGATTTCCAATGGTTTGATAAAATCCAACGGCAAAAAAATTTGAAAATTTCTAGTTTTGCCATGTGGCACAACTTGGGGTGTTTGATTTTCAAATGGGAAGGACATCAACGGGCATGGTAAATTCAAAGGTAAAAATAAATTTTTTTTACTACAACTCAATATTCATTCCCCACAACACAATTCAATATTTATTTTTACTACAATCTCTGTAAAACACAATTTATGATTTTATCTACATTAAGGGGGTCAGGGAGTGGACTAAGCCTTATAATGACATTGTCATAATAATGTAGTTCAACTTTGCTTTTGGCGAGAATTGAACTTAAGACAACTCACTTACAAGTAAAGGGGAATACTATTAAACCGTAGTACTAAGTGACTCCTTATACACACTTAACAAACTTACAAAGTTCACTACACTCACAAACAGCATACTTCAAATCAAACACACCAATAAAATGGGGAAAAAAAAGAAGAAAACACTTGTAAAGTTCACATGGAATTTTATTTCAAAAAGTAAACTTTACAAAGTTCACACTTAAACAGACTTATATATATATAGTCGTCATTACCCTTGCCCAAGCATGACGGGTGAAATTGCACAAAGACGATCACTTTTTAGAGGATAATTTACATGCCATTGCCCTCGTAATCCCAATGGGTGGTTCGGTATGGGATTCCAAACTGAAAATGGGATCCCGAATCCCCCACCAAAAATTTTCGAGATGAAAATTTGAAGACCAATCCCAAAATATTTTTGGTATTTTGGGATGGTTTGGTATTCCCAAATTTCATACAAATTAAAATAACAATCATTCATACCAAGTTAAATTAACATGCAATCAAAATAAAATAAGTAACAAACCCAAAAGCAAAAAAAATAAGTTACAAACCTAATATGTTCGAAAACTAACAATACAATTTCTCGATTTTGTGTTGAAGAAATAGACACATTTGTAGGAGGTTTGTAACGGCAAATGTGGTGATAAAAAGCTATGGTTACTACATTAGACCACACCAATTATATCGCTACTAGTAGTTAGCAACAATTCAAATGTATAATAATACATATATAAATATATAATA